TGTGTGTGTGTGTGTGTGTGTGTGTGTGTGTGTGTATATATATATGTGTATATATATATATCCTTTTATTCAAGAAGGCAGCATTAAATTGCAATTAAATGCTGTTCTTTTGAGCAGCACAACTTTTCAACATTGACAATAAGACATTTTTCTTCAGTAGCAAATCAGCATATTAGAATGATTTCTTGAAGGACCATGTGACACTCAAGACTGGAGTATTGATGCTAAAATTTCAGCTTTGCATCACAGGAATACATTACATTTTAAATATTTTCAAATAGAAAACATTGTAATAATATTGTAATAATCACAGTGTGCCTGATTTTACTGTGTTTTGATCAAATAAATGCCGCCTTGGTGAGAACAAGAGACTGTTTTGTAAATTTTATTAAAAAAAAATCTTATTTTTGTTTTATTACATTTTTTGTTGTTTTTATTTTATTTTTGTCAATGTTATTTTAAAAATCTTACCAATCCAAACTTTTGAACAGTAGTGTAATCTATACTGTAACGTGAGGGCTTTATCATATAGTGTGACATGCAAAGTGGTATTTAATACATAAGCAAATGTTGTAATGCCACACCGGATGATCTTTTATGCTTTTAATTTAGGTCAATTTATGGCCTTATTAAAGTAATCTACACTGTAAAAAATGACCGTGAATTTAACGGTAAAAGACTGTAAAAATGCTACAGTAAAAACCTGTTAAATGGTTAACGGTAAATTCCCCTACTATATACTGTGAAAAACTGTATTGGACATTACATGTATTGGACATAAATTTTACGGTAGTATACCGTTTTTGGAAGTGGAAAAAGACCGTATGATTTACAGTGAATAACCGTAAATTAACATTCCCATAATTCCCTGCGTTACATTTCAAATTTGATGTTTTTTTGTTTCTTCTTTTTTTCTTATCAATTTTGTACATTAGGGTTGTGTGTTACATCTCATGTTGTTAAATGAATGTTTATTGCATTATTTCAGTGTCGTGTGTTACCATGATGGTGTTTGGTGTTTGTGTGAATGACACTGTGCACCTTCTATATATGTTATTATTTAAAAGCTGCTTGTGATGATCATCATGTGACTTTCTCATCACCACCTGCATTTGGTGGTTATCAATGTATTACAAAGGTACAAAACAGATTTCAGTACTTCATTAGGTTGGTATATTAACATTAAATCAGATAATGAAATTACGGTATTTAACTGTAAATTTAAGTTAAAACCGTAAAACCTAAAACGTTGCTACCGTATTTTTTACGGTAAAATTCCGGCAACCACAGCTGCTGCTTTTTTACCATAAATTTTACGGATTTTTTTTACAGTGTAGCATCCTCATAACAAACCCACCACGACGTATAGCAGCATTGCTTTTAATGCACCATTGACAACAAAACTCAGCAGTTATTGCAATTTATTTGTAAATATCACCAAAAAAAATGTAATTGAAAAAATGCCATGACAAATCATATTGACTTTATATTCAAACCATGTTTCAAATAAATCCACATGTATCCAATATATCCCGTAAATCTTCATAGAAATTTGAAAAGCACATAGAAATATTTGGGTTCTGATTGAAATTCCCAACTGCTTTGAGATTTGAACCAACAACCTTCTGATTAGCCCTAATCCTTCTAATTCACTTCTCATTTACTTCCACTATGTTTACTAACCAGCAGCCAGTAGCGAAGTCATTTAGCCACTAAGCTGTTCTGCGGCCACTTCAGGATCTGACTCGCAGGAATGTGGCCTCTACAATCACATCATGTCAATTGCTCTATCACATGATCCATAACTCCCTCTTATCTCTTCTGGGTCAGTGAAGACTATGGAAAGACATTCCAGGACATCACCGACCTCATTAACAACACCTTCATACAGACAGATTTTGGCATGGCAATTGGTCCCGAAAATTCAGGGAAGGTGAATATTTACTTCTCTACTGTTCTGAAAGTATTATTTTAGGTTATTTTCAATTAAATTAAAGTGGCGTTGGTGTGCTGTGAAATTTTGATGTGTGTACAAGCAAACAACAAGTTTATACAGGTGGAAATGTAGTCCCACTGCAAAAGGATGAGCTCTAGTAACAAGCATACACTGCCATTCAAAGGTTTAGGCTTATTTAGTGGAGAAATTAATACTTTTATTGAGCAAAAGTGGCAGTAAAGACATGTATAATTTTAAAAAATAATATATATTTTTAATAAATAATTTTTTTTTTACTTTCTAATCATCAAACAATACTAAAAAAAATATATCACAGTTTCCACAAAAATATTAAGCAGAACAACTGTTTTCAATATCATGTGACACTGAAGACTGGAGTAATGATGATGAAAGTTCAGCTTTGCATCACAGAAATAAATTACATTTTGAAATTCATTACAATAGAAAACAATAGAAAGATATTTTAAATGGTTCTAATATTTTTGATCAAATAATTGCAGTCATGGCGAGCATAGAAGACTTCTTTCAAAAACATGAAAAAAATGTCACCAACATCAAATTTTGGAAGAGTAGTGTTTGTTTTTTTTTGCTTCAACAAAAATTTTACTTTTAAAAGCTTCTCTATCCATTATAAGTGTATTTACTGAGTTTCCTCCACTTGTCAAATTGTTTGATTAATTACTGAACAGGTTTATGATCTGACCCACAGGTGATACTCACAGGTGATCTAACCGAGGGGAGAGTTACCAAAATTTTCAGTTCGGTTGATTTTGGCAACAGCTTTGTGACCTCTGAGCTTCCCTTCCATCCGTTAATGCAGATCACATACAACACCAGAGACAGCAACATACTCATGGTCAACAGCATCAGTGTAAGAACTCTGATTAGACATTAATTTCCTGTGCAAAAGTACATGTACTAAAATGGTTTTCTTATTTTTTCAGTATGACTTATGGCTGTCTGAAGAATTTGGGGCCAGCTGGAGGAAGATCCATGAGACTGTGTGTCTTATGAAATGGTATGATAATAAACATACATGAATGAATAAGTAACAGTTGTCTTATGTAGTCAGAGTTTGGACTACTGGCAAAGTCTAGGCCATATTGCAGCTAATTCTGGCCCACTTTGAACATCAGATCAACCAGTTCCCTTTTTATGCAGCATATAGTAACAGTTGGATATAACTCTGCGTGTTAACATGGTAATGTTTAGCTACTAAGTGTCTCAAACTAAACTTTTTAATATATATCCAAGATTTATTGTCATAAATCCTGCAGCCTGGGAACTTGTAAATACGATTTTGCCTCCTACTTCATGAAAAACTGTGCATCGATCCTGACTGCTTTAAAATGGTTCTTTGTCCAAAAAGACATATTTGTTCTTAATTGTGATTGGTGTGTCCAAGTGCTTTCTGATTTTAATCTATGTTGTGGATTTGAATCTCATTGCTGCCTAGAGCTAATTTAGATTTACGTATTTTAACAGCAGTTAATTTCTGTTGACTGTCAAATGAAGCATGATCTATTTCAGTTGCATTTTTGTAATGCACATTAGATTGAGGTTACAGTTCTCACACGAGAACATATTTCATTCTTATATCAAATTAGAGCTTTTTAGTGGAACATATGGTTTTTGAAATAGCCCATGTCATTCCAAACCAGAATTTGACTTTATTCACAAAATCAACAAAATCTCTTAGGCAGAATGTTTGAGGTTTTGTTTTTCATATGGCAAATGTGTGACTCCATTATAACACAATTTCCAACTATTCCTTTGAGCTTTACAGTTCTAACACTCAAAAATCACATTTGATTGTTCACTGAAACTGAGGCATTTAGTTAGATCTGTAGTAGCCATCCTATATAGGACCATCCTTAAAGGGGTCATATAATGCGATTTAAATTTTTCCTTTCTCTTTGAGATATTCTTTATAAAAGTTAAGAGTCAACCACGCCTACCTAAAACGGCTCGTTCTAACACGCCCCCACATGTCTACGTCACGATGTGGGAAGATTTGCATAACGCCGTCCAAATGTTCACGCAAAGAAAGAAGGCATAGCTTTTATTCTCGCTTTAGTATTGTTGCTGCCGCCATGTCGTGAAGGTGCTGTGTGTTTCGTTGTGAAAGCGAAATTATTTTGCTTGGCCTTCCAAAAGAGGACTATATCCGGTTCGTCATGCCTAGAGCTGATCCGTGCTGGTCACTGAAGAAATACATCAACTTCACGCTGTGGATCGCCGGATCGGCTTTCACCATGGACGAAGCGGAGTCCAGCCTGGGGTCTTCACATGTGGTTGCCGCAAGCCCTGCTGCTCCTTCGTCGAATCCGCCAGCCGCGCCGTTCTCAAGCCCGCCGCCTCTTCTCATTCTAGCCCGCTGTGTGTTTCATTGTGAAAGCGAAACTACTTTGTTTGGCCTTCCAAAAATGGACACGACTAGAAATCAGTGGTTAAGTTTTATTTACAACACTGTTCCAGAACAGTTCAACCCAAATATTCCGATGTGTCCAGTGCATTTTATTGAAATAGCCCATGTCATTCCAAACCAGAATTTGACTTTATTCACAAAATCAACAAAATCTCTTAGGCAGAATGTTTGAGGTTTTGTTTTTCATATGGCAAATGTGTGACTCCATTATAACACAATTTCCAACTATTCCTTTGAGCTTTACAGTTCTAACACTCAAAAATCACATTTGATTGTTCACTGAAACTGAGGCATTTAGTTAGATCTGTAGTAGCCATCCTATATAGGACCATCCTTAAAGGGGTCATATAATGCGATTTAAATTTTTCCTTTCTCTTTGAGATATTCTTTATAAAAGTTAAGAGTCAACCACGCCTACCTAAAACGGCTCGTTCTAACACGCCCCCACATGTCTACGTCACGATGTGGGAAGATTTGCATAACGCCGTCCAAATGTTCACGCAAAGAAAGAAGGCATAGCTTTTATTCTCGCTTTAGTATTGTTGCTGCCGCCATGTCGTGAAGGTGCTGTGTGTTTCGTTGTGAAAGCGAAATTATTTTGCTTGGCCTTCCAAAAGAGGACTATATCCGGTTCGTCATGCCTAGAGCTGATCCGTGCTGGTCACTGAAGAAATACATCAACTTCACGCTGTGGATCGCCGGATCGGCTTTCACCATGGACGAAGCGGAGTCCAGCCTGGGGTCTTCACATGTGGTTGCCGCAAGCCCTGCTGCTCCTTCGTCGAATCCGCCAGCCGCGCCGTTCTCAAGCCCGCCGCCTCTTCTCATTCTAGCCCGCTGTGTGTTTCATTGTGAAAGCGAAACTACTTTGTTTGGCCTTCCAAAAGAGGACATGACTAGATACTGTGTATCTCATTAATAGAGACTTTAAGACCTGAAGTGGGTCAGAAAAGGTAAAAAGAGTTGAGAGAAAATATGAAGCGTGTCAGATCCGTGTCACGTTCAGCAGTGGCAGCTCTTAAAGAAATAGCAGCCAAAATAACCTAATAACCCAGCTGCTGTGATGTCTATTAATCAAAGGAGAAAGAAAAAAAGAGGAAACTTTTATATACATATATATATATATATATATATATATATACCATTATGTCATTTTTTAAATACACTTTTATGGTGTGATTGGGAGTTTTACAGGACTGCTGCATTTCTTTGACTTGCGTCTCTTTTCCATCTGCTCTTTCATCAGGGAGTGTGGGAGGTGCAGTTTATGTGCTTTCTCCAGACGTGTATGTGTCTGATGATGGGGGTTACACATGGTTTCAGGCACTGAAAGGCCCCCATCACTACGCCATACTGGATTCAGGAGGACTGCTAGTAGCGGTAGAGCACAACCCCTCACGACCCATTTCACAGATCAAGTGAGCTTTCTGTCTAGTATTTATGTGTATGTATAATGATTTGACCTCCGCATGAGAGATAAATGTTCCAGTGTTACAAAAGATAATCTTATAACAAATTTATTTAAATGGTTATGTCTGGTTGACATAAGTAGAATGTAATTGATTTTGTATTAAATTAAATGAACAATAGAAAAAAATAAAGACAGCAAGGATTATCACTTCATTTAAAAACAAATTATATATAAAAGTAAAAAATTTACATTTACATATATTTATATTTTATTTATTTTATGTAAAGGGTTAGTTCACCCAAAAAATAAAAATTCTCTCATTAATTACTCACCCTCATGTCGTTCCAAATCCGTAAGAACACAGGAAACACAAATTAAGATATTTTTGATGAAATCCAAGAGCTTTCTGACCCTCCCAAAGACAGCAACGCAACTGACACAGTTTATGGCCCAGAAAGGTAGTAAGGACATCGTGAAAATAGACCATGTGACATCAGTCGTTCAACCTTAAATTTATGAAGCTACGAGAATACTTTTTGTATGCAAAGAAATAAAAATAACGAATGTATTCAACGATTTCTTCTCTTCTTTGTCAGTCTTCGATGCACGTTCATGACAGTACCCCGATGCATGTGTGTGGTGCTGCTGCCGTAGAAGCCGGATGCGCTGCGGCTTGTTTACGAGCAGAGGAATGCACACGCATGCGTCATGGTGCTGTCGTGAACGAGCGTCGAAGACTGACATGCAAGAGAAGAAATAAAGTTATTTTTGTTTTCTTTGTGTACAAAAAGTATTCTCGTAGCTTCATAAAATTAAGGTTGAACCACTGATGTCACATGGACTTTTAATTTGCACTATAAAGATGAACAACTTACAGGTTTGGAACGACACGAGGGTGAGTGAGGAGCAACATTTTTGGGTGAACTAACCTTTAAAAAATTAAAACTTTTAATTTAAATATATTTATTTCATATTTAATTCTTAATATTTACTAGTGCTGTCAAATGATTAATCGCGATTAATCGCATCCAAAATAAAAGTTTTCGTTTACATAATATATGTGTGTGTACTGTGTATATTTATTATGTATATATAAATACACACATACTGTCAGGGTTCTGGACTGTCTATGTGTGTTTTGCTCCCCGTGACCCAGTCTCTCCTAGTGTTAATTTGATTGATTCCATGCACCTGTGTTCCCCTGATTGCCCTGTGTTTATTAGCCCCAGTCTGTGCAGTCTTCCTTTGTCGGTCCTACTCGTTGGATGTTGTGTAATTCCCCTGTGTTTCCAAGGATTAAACACTGTTTATGTACTCCACGTCTCATTGTTCCTCATTCCGCACTACTCCCAGCACAGATCATGACACATACAGCATATATTTTGAAAATATTTACATGTATATATTTATATTCATAAAATATAAATATATAAATATATTTAATGTATAAACATAACATTTTTCTTAAATATATACATGCATGTGTGTGTAATTATATATACATAAACATTTACACAGTACATGCACACATACTATGTAAACAAAACCTTTTATTTTGGATGCGATTAATCGTTTGAAAGCACTAATATTTACATTTATTTTCACTAGATTTTCCACTGATGAAGGTCAGTGTTGGCATGTGCATAACTTCACCGATGATCCAATGCACTTCACTGGGCTGGCATCAGAACCTGGTGCCCGTTCCATGAATATCAGCCTTTGGGGCTACAGGGAAACTGTCCTGAATCAGTACTGGGTTTCTGTCACTGTAGATTTCAGGCAGTTGCTCTCTAGAGTCTGTGAGTGATATAATATCTCTAAAAGGTATTTCATAAACTAATATAAAAGCATACAGAATCCAGTCCAGAAGAACTCTTCAAATGTGTAAACAGTGCCCTGAACTAACCAAATACTACTGCTGCAGGTCAGGAGAATGACTACATCCAGTGGCTCGCTCACTCAAGCGATATTAGCGACCCCACTGATGGGTGCATGCTGGGATACAAGGAAAGGTTTTTACGGTTACGAAAGGACTCAGTCTGCTGGAACGGGTGGGATTTCATTGTCACTAAGGAGCCCACGACTTGTCCCTGCACCCTCACTGACTTTCAGTGGTACGAGCACATACAGACCTATCAAATACACTCAATAAAGTACAGTGTGATTAATTTATACTATTCATGACATGCATTCCGTCTGTGATTCCAGTCATTGTCTCTCTCTTTTCCTGCAGTGACTTTGGATTCTATCATGCGGAAAACAGCTCTGTGTGTGTGGAGCAGCTCGAACTTATTGGCCATTCACTGGAGTTCTGCCTGCACGGACGCAAAGAGCAGCTCCAGACCAGCGGGTAACAAATCACTCTCTATTTCCACTCCACGGAGTTGTATTGAAACGTTCAGCAGGTGTAAGCTATTTTTGCATGCATTGCTGAATATATACTTCTTAGAAAATCTGTGAGCCTGATTGACTGAACTGGTTCGCATATGCAAAATTGTTGTGTATGAGTTCATGTTTTTGTCATAGAATTACTTAAATGCTGTAAACAAAGTGTTAACATATATATTATAATTACTGCTTTTATGCCAGAAAAAAAACAATGTTATTATTATACTATTGTTTTATCGTGCAGTACATATGATAAGTTCATACAGTTTGATTTCCTACAGCATTATCTGCAATATCTGTCTCATGTCTTCTTTTTAATTTCTTTGATAGGTTCCTGGTGCACAGGTACTCCGTATTACAGCAGCACGCTGAAGCTAATGGTATCGATGGCGTGGATGACCTGGACACACTGGAGGGTGGCAAGACACACTACCATGATGATTCAGATGAGGTACATACTGCCACTCACTGGTAAAAACGCAATATTCTTTTCCGCATTTGAACTTTGAATAAATCCTGTCATTATATTTTTGACATCTGTAGGACCTCCTAGAGTGACAGACACATGGATCATCATAAGACTGTTTTAAAAGAGAGAAACCACAATGCCTACCCTTCCCATGACCCTCTATGTGTGTGTATCTGCGTTCAAGCACATTCTGACCAATCGATTTGCTTCTGGCTACTTGGGGACAGATTTTCAGTGATTCAGCACAGCAGGATTTGACTGCAAGGACAGAAATAGAGAAAAACATGCCTTTTCATAAAAGGCAGATTGGGGGCCCGCCAAGCCGAGGAGAACTTTTAATTGAAACCAGGAAATTTATTTCCCTGCAATTTCCCTGAATTTCCCTTGTCCGACAGCTTATCAGAATTCTCAGAGTCCAACTCAGACAGTAAGTTGAGCATATGTTTGATCAATTTAGCCTTCTCAAATCAACACGACGACTTGCCTAAAATAAAATCTATAGACATAAAACACTTTTACAGTATTAAAGCATTTCACAGTATTAATTTAAACATTTAACCTAGATAAATTTGTGCTGTTAAAACTCTGATTAATCGATTTCATGAGACATTCGTTTGTATTAAATTGTTCTGATTTTTTCATGCATGCATTCAAATATTCATGTTTATTTCGTGCTGCAAATATCAAAGTGGAAAATATTGATTCATATGCCGCTTGAACTGAGGTGAATTATCTCACTACAAATTAAAGAGCGTAAAAACACATTTATTGTTTGTATTTTATCATAAAATTGACAGAAGGCTGAGACTTTGTAGTAACAAAGCACAAAGCTGCGATTATGGGTGGCTTGCATGCTACAAATAATGAATGGACTTGAAAACTTTAAATATAATTTCCAAGCATTTAGCCTATACCGTAAAACAGCTTGTGAATAGTCACGATTCACGTATCGTTATTTACTTCAGAAAAATCAACAATAGGACCCAAGTTAAGTTAACCGAGATGAAGCTCATAACGTTTGGGGGGGGGGCTGACTTGCTATGCCACTGCCTCTGCTGAAAGAGTTTCAATCTTTTTAATCATTTCATGTTATGTATTTGGGATGCGCAAAATATTTGAAGCAGTTATGTTGCCATATATTTCAAATTTATGCGAGTTGACGCACAAAATCTGATGGCTGAGGAGTATTACTTAACTAAGCAGTACTTTGAAGGCCACTATAATTGGAGTATAATTTACAAAAAAAGGGTGCATGAGACATGAGCTTTGAAGCGTGGTTTCATTGCTGATTTCCTGCATCAGGTATTTAATTTCACCAAAGAATTTTCAGCTTTGTTTTCTTCGTTTTGCATATTAGGATGGTTTGAACTCTGAAGTCTCCTTGAAGCCTGTTTTTTTTTTTTTGTAAATTGTAAAAATAGAAGTATCTTCAGAAAATAGCCTGCTCATTTCCAGAGTTATTGTCTGAGCACATCTGGATGAAGGTGAAGTGTTTAAAGGTAATATTTAATATTCCCTGGAAGCTTCATGTGCGAGTTTTATGACAGACTGAGACTTGTTTATAAGGTTTGTAGGCTTTATTATACTAACATAACATCCTGAGGATTACAGTTCGGATCTTAATGAAACTAGTTTAGCCAACCTTTAGTCATTCCATAAGTCAAATTTGACTTTTGTCTTGTTGCCTGCCATTGCTGTGTGCTATACTATGCACTTGGCATATCTTCTATGCACAAGTAATAATACATTCTTCCTTTTCAGTATTACCAATGCTATTCTCTGATGGTACAGTGTCATTTGATGCAAGAAAAGAGGCATGGTTTTCAATCATCTTATTATGGTGCACTTTACATAATGGATCTTAGAGATATAATAGTAACGTGGTATCAGTCTGACACCTTGTTGCTAAGTCAGCAATAATTGTATATTCAATAACAAGACAATATTTAATGTTAATTGTGACGGGGTTTTTTCAGAACAACTTATCCTTCATTAGGATGTTGACAACATTAAGTGCATCTAATTAGCAGCATAATCAAATATGAAAATATATTTTTGGTCTGTATTGACTGTCAACTCATAAATAAGCTAATTTGTAGTCATTAAGCTGATTAAGATATGAGTGCTTTTTTTTTTTTTTTGCACAGATAATAAAATGGATACCTCAGGGGTTATAGAAGACAGTGGACCACACATTTCATTGATGGGTTTGCATGGTTTGACTCAGGTTTGGGATGGATGAACTTGGCTTTTCTGAAGTCATGTGTAAAATGCTGTACCATTAAATGTGACTGCCAACAACAATAAAACAAACAAAAAATCTCTTCATAAAATCCATGCTCATTGGCTTGACTTGAATCAAATGGGTTCTGGACCCTGATTCAGCAAAGTGAACTGAATTCACAAAGACTTTAAGAGGAGTATTGCCTCTCTTATTAAAGCAGGTATTAAAAACAACCCTGAAATTGGAAGTTGTATAGTCCGCAACCTAATGTTCCCAGTTTTGCATTATACTGAGAAACAGGGTCAATAAACAGCAGCTGGTTAGTGTCAAACAGCATAGCATTTGTATCTTCAATCATGTAAATAGAATGAGAGCTGCATATATTTAATGTGCAGAATAAAACTTGATTGTAAACAGATGTACAATTTATCTTTTTCCTCAGTGTAGAAAATAATATCACATGAAAAATATTTAACTTAGAGAGAACATAGTTCTATTCATAATATTTTTATTATTTATTTTAATTATGTAAGTATTGAATTGAATAACATACAGGCTAGTGTAATAATAGAATAATTTTGTTTGCTACAGATATTATTACAGTATAATGGCTAGGTTTTCTTGATTTTTTCTTGAGGAAGAACAAAATCAGACATGAAATCACAAAACATTTGCTTAAATGACTTGCAAAAAATAAATGGATTAATTAATCAATATAAATAAATAAATAAACTATTCTACAAGCTATATTTATTCTAATGGATCATTAATTCATCCAATTTAAAAATGTAAAGTAAGAAAACAAATAATTTAATTAAATAAATATTAAAAAAACGTCCAGAATTAACAGAACGTTTTGAATGAAATTTCTTATTTATTCAATAACTTCAGTAACTATTTATTACATGTATTTTTATGTACAGGTTTTATTTTTGCATTTTATGTATTTATTTGATCTGTTTCTTTGTTTATTTTAGTTATTATATTATTTCTGTATTTAATTCTATTTTGTTTTGTCCTTTCACTGCTCTACTAGTCAGAGACATGCAGGGGTTAAGAGGGGGCGTGGCGTTTGTCTTGTAGGAGGGGCGTTTGAGCTACTGTTCATCGTGGTTTTTTTCCGAGTGTGCCATTTTGGCTCCTGAGCGAGACGCGTCGTGTGATTGGGCTCCAGGCGCCGCTATCGGAGCCAATCAGAGGTGCATCGCGCGGCGGCACAGACGGTGAGTGAGCGCGGCTGCTGGGAGGGGACGGGACGCGGTCGGTTAGCTGGGGATTGGTGTGTGACCGACCAACCAAATGACTAAAATCATTATAAACAGGAATAGTGCTGTTTGTTTATGTGTCAAGGTCCACTGTGTGGACAGCATGCACGCATTTATTTCTTGTGTGGTTAAAATGATAAACAATGTCGTTAAATGGTTTATTTTTGTTGTTTTCTGTTAAGCCGAGCTGGCGTCTCATATAGGCCCAATTTTGAGCCACTCTTTGTTTTAATATTCGTTGACTTTCGCAGTCTAGAGGTCGATTGGAGCCAATAGGTCGTTGTTTTGGTTTTAATCCGCTAAATGAGAGTTAATAAAACAAAATATTTATATATATTTGATTTAAACCAAATATATAATAAAAAATACGTTCGTGCATGAAAACACAGGTCGATGTGCTAATAGCGCTAGCAATATTTGACAAAGAGAAAGCAAACCAACATAGCTTTATGTACACAATATTAATACTGCAGTTTTCATTTGTCTTATGTAATTCGTGGTGTTTAAAGGAAAAAAGGAGTTTCTTTTAATGGAAGCAACAAAAGCGTCTGTGGGATACAAAGACGCGACGCGTTAAACTGAAGAACAGCAGATACATTTGACAGAAACTAGCCCTGAAATCCAAACACAACGTTTTTTTCTTGAACTTTTAATCATGCGTTTTGCTCGTCGTTGCCTATATTTTATTTACATCACTGTAGAATCAAACATTGCAGCAGCATAGACCGGTACATCTCAAAAAATTAGAATATCATGAAAAAGGTCAATATTTTTTGTCACTCATTTCAGAAAGTGAAACCCATATATTATATAGATTCATTACACAGAGTGAAATATTTCAAGCCTTTATTTCTTGAAATTTTGATGATTATGGCTTACAGATAATGAAAACCCAAAATTCAGTGTCTCAGAAAATTAGAATATTACATAAGAGCAATAAAAAAAGGATATTTTAAGCAGAAATGTCAGGCTTCTGAAAAGTGTGTTCATTTCTATGTACTCAATACTTGGTTGGGCCTCCTTTTGCA